TCTACTAGAATGAGAGTTAAAATATTTTAAAAATATACCGTTTTTATTATAAAATTGCTATGACAAATTCTTTTAATAAATTGATCGACAAAATTTTAAAAATCTTAAATAGTGGGCAATCATATAGTGGTGTTCTATGATAGTAATTTATTTAGTATCTAACACCCTAGCTGAAGATATAGTGGAATCTCCACCAAAAAAGAGGCAATGCACAATCACAAGTGCATATTTCTTTTTTCTAGAGTAAATGTATCTTTGCGAGCAGATAAATCTTTAGATATTCTCAAGATGTTAAAGTTGGCTATATGTACTTTTAATCAGAATGCAATTACACTTGGCTCGACTCACTTTTATAAAAGTTCGGATCATTTGCGAGTTGAAACTAAGTGTAATGAAAAGTCTCAAAAGAGAGTATTTACGATGCAGAAATATATTGAATTTTAATGAATTGGTTGGCAAAGGATCATAACTTTGAGATTAAGGGCCAGTGGCATCTCAAACAGGTCTGTGAAGATGGAGACTTGCATTATCTTTATTCTGATTTGACAATAAAGAGAAGCGCTAACCCCAACCCTGTAGCATTACTAGAACTTATAGCAACAGGATCTATCCTAAAGTTAAAGAAACATTTTGAACAAATTTTTAAGTATGCCAACCAACTTTGCTCTCAGGAAGTTGGGTTGTGCATTTTTCTCAAGAGAATTCTATTGTGTTGGATCCATATTGATCTTCTGATGAGCTACAGGAAAGAGGATTAAATGTTGTACACTTTTGGCATAATAAAGAATTTAAGAATATTCGTATGAGTTCTTGATTTCAAGATACCACTAGTAAATTTCAGAACATTATAGATGAACAGATCCTCCCCTAATTTGTTTAATCCATTGCTTCTCTTATATCAATAAAGCTAGCTCTGGTAGCCGATTTCGCATACATAATCAGTTTACTTTGCATGTATATTTTGTGAATTTATTTATTGTATTGATAATGGATAACGATATATTTCCTGATAAAAGTGATCGATGTAACAAATTGTCACACACAGATAATTTTTTTATTTAAAATTAAAAGCATTAATTATCGTATTTTATATAAAAATAACAAATATGCAATCTAAAGATGACTTGTTGAGAGAATTAAATTATAAACTTGTAGCTGAGATTAATAAACTTAGGAAAGAGAATGCAGAAATACCTGAACTTAAAAAGAAATGTACTGAAATTGAAACCGAGAATATAGAACTTAAAGCTGAGAAGATAAAAGTTAAAGCGAATAATGCGAAGCTAAAGCAAATT